GCAGAGTTAAGGGGGTCAGCAAGGCACCGTTCCTTGAGATTCCAGGGCCAAAGCCCCAGACCAGGCGCTTGTGATGTCATAGGGTGGTGGGTGAAGGCTTGTGATGTCATATAGGGAATGGACTCTTGTGGTGTCATGGGCAGTCTGACCTGTCAGGAATCATTGCAAAAGGGTAGATGGTTGGATAGTGTCATCGAAGCAACCAAAATGAATTTGACACAACTCCGGGTTCCTTGAGATTCCAGGGCCAAAGCCCCAGACCAGGCGCTTGTGATGTCATAGGGTGGTGGGTGAAGGCTTGTGATGTCATATAGGGAATGGACTCTTGTGGTGTCATGGGCAGTCTGACCTGTCAGGAATCATTGCAAAAGGGTAGATGGTTGGATAGTGTCATCGAAGCAACCAAAATGAATTTGACACAACTCCGGGAGGCAGTGGAAGACAGGAGGGCCTGGCGTGCTCTGGTCCATGGGGTCACGAAGAGTCGGACACGACGAAACGAAACAAAAGGATGGGCAGACAAAGAAGAAACCAGAGATGCGGACCTTTGTGCTTTTTGGACTTCAGTTCCAGTCAAGAGAGCTCAGGAGAGAACTCACCGCGCTGTAGTCCAAAAAAGCACAACATTGCAGAGTGCGACTGAATTCATGTTGGAAGAGCAACTGTACAGCATGCCAGATAACAAAACGTTGATGGCAAATGTTTTTCTGAACATGTTCAAAACACATGTGCCAAAGACAGGGGAAAGAAACCGGGAAGCTTGCTACATTGGCCTCACATGCCATGTGCTGGGATTTAAGATCCAGAGCCTGAAATCTGGAGAATGGACCCCCAAAATGTGAGTCTGGAAGCCAAAATCTCAAGCCTGACAGTACACTGCTTAGGATCATGAATGGTGGAGTTGGAAAGAACTCCAAGGCTCATCTTGTCCAGTCTTTTGGCACTGTTGAAGATCAAGAGCTAACCCCCTTCCTCCTTAGTTGGACATCCCACTTCTGTTGAAAACCTTCAGTAAAGGAGATGCCTTCCCTTGCAGTGACCCAGCAGAACAACCCCCTCCACTTTTAATGGCCAAGAATGGCATTTTAGGTATGTTTAGATGGATTTTGTGCAATTGTAATTAGTTATCTTCTGGGGAGGGGAGAAGTGTATACACTATGGACTGGTTATAAATAAGAAGCCAGGCAGGAGTAGAGAGGCAACCTGAGTTTGGGGGCAGTGGTCTACTTGCCTTCATTGGCAACTTCTGACCTACTAGATGTTGTTGGACGGCACCTTCCCAGCATCCCTTGCTCTTGGCCCTAGGGCTGATGAGAGTTGGTGTTCAGGGTCTGCAGAGCTACACATTAAGAACATGGAGGTAGCTGTATCATGAGTCAGACCCTTATTCCATCTCACCCACTGTTGTCAACTCCGAAGAACAATGGCTCTCCATGATTTCACAGAGGAAATCTTTGGTAATCTTACCTGGACAAACTGGATGTGGGATTTTCTGTATCCAAAGCCCACACCCCCAGAAGAGTCCAACAGCGAAGAACAGCTACATAAATTCATATCAACAAACTGGTTCTAGCAGGTCACTGCTGGCTAGCGATTCTGGGAGCTGCTGTTCCAAAAAGTATTGTTTCTAAACTCTGTTGCTGCTATATGCCATTTTGGGATCGCAGGGGATAAATATGGCTAAATGACTGCAGCCAAGAAATCAGAAGAAGATTGAGACTAGGAAGGGCAGCAATGAAGGAATTAGAAAAGATCCATCAAGTGTAAGGATGTGTCACTGGGGACCAAGAACAAGATCATCCACAAGATCATATTTCCCGTCACCATGCATGGGTGTGAAAGCTGGAGAGTATTTATTTATTTATTACATTTCTATCCCGCCCATCTAGTCGTTTCGACTACTCTGGGCGGCATACATCAAACACAACAAAGACAATTAAAATAATATCAACATCCAAAAATAAAATAAATAATAGTTCAAGATGACAAAACAAAAATAAATCAAAGCTGGAGGGAAGGCCTGCCTAAACAGCCATGGTTTTAATTGGCCTTTAAAGACACCCAGCGAAGGGACCTCTCTGAAGCTAAGTTGTTCTACAACCGAGGAGCCACTGCCGAGTAAAGAAAGCTGACAGGGGGAAAATCGATTCATTTGAAGTGTTTTGCTAGAGGAGAGCTTTGTGGATACCCTGGACTGCCAGAAAGATGAACAAGCACGTCCTAGATCAAACCAAGCCTGAACTATCTCTGGAGGCAATAATGTTGAAATGGAGTGTGTCCTATTTTGGGCACATCGTGAGAAGGCAGGATTCTCTAGAAGATACAGTAATGCTGGGAAAGGTTGAAGTCAGCAGATAACGAGGAAGACCAAATGTGAGATGATCTGACTTCCTAAAAGAGACCACAGGTTTGAATCTGCAAGAACTGAGCAGGCCTGCTGAAGACGAGACATTTTGGAGACTGCTTGTTCATAGGTTGCCACGAGTCAGAAGTGACCCAGGTAAAAACAGAAAATTACTCAGAAGTTAAGCTGTTGCTTTCTGTGGGAATCTTAGAATCCTCATACTGTCAAAGGTCTCTTAAAGATCATCTAGTCCAACCCTCTGTTCACATGAACTTTTCAGCATAACAACTTGCAGGTTGCTGGCCAAAGCTGTTACAAAATGGCTGGATACTTAGGTGCTCTGATTGTTGCTCACTCTGCCAGCACCTAAGTATTCAACTGTTTTTGTAAACTGTCTCAGAACTTTTCTGAAAGGTATTGTACAAACCCGTTCAGATACAAAAATGAAATGTAGCTATATTTAAACCAAAACAGCGGTGCCAACTGGAACTTCTACAGTTTGGAGGTATTAGATCGGTGCATGCTATCTATACTTTGCTGTTATCAACAGATACATATTATCACAAACATCTAACCCATTGAGACAGATGTGCTAGAACGCTCCCAGGACTTCAAAAGGAGAAAAAGGACGGAAAGTTTATTCTGATTGTTTTGTGAACTCCAAGATGAGCTGCATTGATCTTGCTGGAAAAATTGGGCAGGGAAATTCCAACCGATAACATTCAGTCCAGCATGAAATTGTATTTGCTGGTGGATAACTAACAAAGCTCAAAGCTCTGCTGGTCAACAGCATTACCTTCCAGTGACCTGGTCTTAAAAACCCTGCACCACCTTGAATGGTTCTTCCTTCTTCAGTTGCACTTAAGTAACAGAACTGTCATCACTCAAACTGTCTGTGACACAATGGGGATGAGGAATGTGGCTCCTTCGTTTCTTTCCCTTCAAAGTATTTGGGGCATGTAAAACTGATGACACGCTTCCTTGTACGGATGTGTGAGCTCTGTTGGATGTGTAATGGAAGCCCTGTCTACTTATTTCCTTGTGTGTCAAGCTCTTCATGAAAATAAAAAGACATTTACTAAAGAGGTCATAAGTCTGACAGCATGTTCACTGCATGTATCTCGGTTATAATTCAGTATAGCTGTTCAATAGTGCTATGGCTCCATCCTACAATATGCTGGAATTTGCAGTTTTCAGAGCTACTTAGAATTCTCTTGTCGTTCAGAAGAGTGCACTGGAGCACTCCAGCAAAAACTTCTAAGCCCTTCACCAAACTGCAAACCCCAGCATACTGTAATATGGAGCTATGGCAGTTCAAGTGACATTAGATGATCACAAGTGTAGAGGAACATGGGTTTTGACAAGGTATAATCATTTTAGGACTGCAGAGCTGGAAAGGACCCTATGGATCATCAAGGCCAGCCCCTCTCAAAGAGGCATGAATTGGAGGGCGGGGGATCGAACTTCCAACCTTTGGCTCTACAGCCAGGGTCCTAAACCACTGAGACATCCAGGCAGATGGAGACTTTGCCATGCAGTAATATTTCTTACTTGTAATCACGTGCATAGGACTTGTGAGTCCATTAACCCAATATTCAAATTGAAAGGAGGAGAAATTAGGTATAGTTGGATTAAATCAACCATTGCATCCTCCGAATCTTGCCCAATATCACCAGATGCAGCCACTTTGCTGAAAGTAAGCATGTAACGGTTTGGACAATGTGCGATACCTACCAGAGGGCTCATGAAAACTTAAGAGCCATATTGGAGCAAGAGCAGACACCTATATGTGGCTCCAAAAGAGGAAGGTGATAATTTGCATGTGCTAATTCATACATGTAGAAATCATTTGGCACTGATGGCAACTTTCAGGCTGTTACTGCTCTCCCTCTGCAGAGTTCTTCATCTTACAGTTCGACTTACAACTAGATTGGGATGGATAACGGGGGACCCTGCAGGTGGTGGTGTAGGACTGCAGATCCCATGATCCTTCCCCATTGGTTATGCTGCCTATTGCAAATGGGAAGACTGCTGAGTTCTACAATGAAGCCAAATTCTCCTTTGCTGTTGTTGTGTTTAAAGGCAGTTGTGAAATATGGGTGCCAAGGTGTTCCTTTTTCAACACTGCACTGAACTGTTCAAAGGTGAATTTCCAGTTTCTGCTTGCTAATTCAGGTGCTGTGCCCAGATGCTTGACAATGTTCTGCTGTTGCCTTGGTTGATTAAGATAACCTTCCAGAAGGCAATTTATTATCTTGTAAAATAGATCTAATTATACTTCTATGTATTATGTACCAACAAGAACATGACAAAAAAAATAGAAGGCTAAATTTCTCAAGCAATGAAATGTTCAAGGGCAGGGTGCTGCCCAGGGAACACGGCATGAACTGCCTGCAGGAATCAAAGCAGCCGAAAACCAAAACAAACCAGTAGATTTTTTTTCTTTG